CATCCCCACTATATTCTACATCATCCACACAATTTTCTACATCATCCCCACTATATTCTACATCATCCACACAATTTTCTACATCATCCCCACTATATTCTACATCATCCACACAATTTTCTACATCATCCACACAATTTTCTACATCATCCCCACTATTTTCTACATCATCCACACAATTTTCTACATCATCCACACAATTTTCTACATTATCCTTACTATTTTCTACATCATCCCCACTATTTTTTAGCTGAACCACACAATTTTCTACATCATCCCCATTATTTTCTACATCATCCACACCATTTTCTACATCATCCCCACTATTTTCCACATCATCCTCACTATTTTCTACATCATCCCCACTATTTTCTACATCATCCCCACTGTTTTCTACATTATCTACTACCCACCCCTTGGCACCCTTATGACTTTATGCAGTTGCGAGCGCCGTAAAACCCTCTACTAAAAAAAAGAAGAAAAAACTACTATTTTCTACCTCATCCTCACCATTTTATACATTATCCCAACTATTTTCTACATCACTCCCTCCATTTTCTAAATAATACACACTATTTTTTAAATTATCAACAATATTTCTAGCTCAACCACACTATTTTCTACATCACTAAAACTATGTTCCACGTTATCCCAATTATTTTATATCTGAACCACACTATTTTCTAGTTCAATTCTACATCATCTTCACTATTTCCAACATCATCTCCACTATTTTCTAGCTCAACCAAGCTATTTTCTAAATCATCCCCACTAGTTTCTATATCATCCCCACTATTTTCTAAATCATCCCCACTATTTTCTATATCATCCACATCTAGTTCATATCCAGCTTATCCTCATACTGATAATGTAGAAAATAGTTGGAATGAAGTAAAAAATAGTGGGGATGAGCTAGAAAAAAATGTGGATGATATAGAAAAGAGTGGTGATGAAGTAGAAAATAGTGGTGAAGATATAAAAAAATGTTTGGAATGAGCTAAAAAATAATGGGGATGAGCTAGAACAAAGTGGGGATGATGTAGAAAATAAATAGTGGGGATGATGTAGAAAAAAGTGTGCTTGAGCCAGAAAATTGTAGGGATGATGTAGAAAATAGAGGGGACAATACACAGCTAGAAAATAGATGATTTTTAAAATAGTTGGAATGATGTAGAAAATAGTTGAGCTAACAATGGAGATAATGAAGGAAATGGGGAAAATGTAGAAAACAGTAGGAATGAGCTAAAAATAGAGGGGAAAATGTAGAAAACAGTAGGAATGAGCTAAAAATAGAGGGGGAAATGTAGAAAACAGTAGGAATGAGCTAAAAATAGAGGGGATGAGGTAGAAAATAGTAGGAATGATATGCAAAATAGTTTGGATAATGTAGAAAATACTGTGGTTGAGTTAGAAAATAGTGGGGATGATGTAGAAAATACTGTGATTGAGTTAGAAAATAGTGGGGATGATGTAGAAAATACTGTGATTGAGTTAGAAAATAGTGGGGATGATGTAGAAAATACTGTGGTTGAGTTAGAAAATAGTGGGGATGATGTAGAAAATACTGTGGTTGAGTTAGAAAATAGTGGGGATGATGTAGAAAATACTGTGATTGAGTTAGAAAATAGTGGGGATGATGTAGAAAATACTGTGATTGAGTTAGAAAATAGTGGGGATGATGTAGAAAATACTGTGGTTGAGTTAGAAAATAGTGGGGATGATGTGGAAAGAAGTTGGAAAGAGCTAAAAGATAGTGGGGATGATGTGGAAAAATGTGAGAATGATTGAGAAAATTGAGGGTGTATAGTAGACAATAGCGGAATTGATGTAGAAAATAGTGTGAAAGTTTTAGAAAATATTGTGGTTGAGCTAGAAAATAGTGGGAATGTTTTAGAAAATATTGTGGTTGAGCTAGAAAATAGTGGGAATGTTTTAGAAAATATTGTGGTTGAGCTAGAAAATAGTGGGAATGTTTTGGAAAATATTGTGGTTGAGCTAGAAAATAGTGGGAATGTTTTGGAAAATATTGTGGTTGAGCTAGAAAATAGTGGGAATGTTTTGGAAAATATTGTGGTTGAGCTCGAAAATAGTGGGAATGTTTTTGAAAATATTGTGGTTGAGCTAGAAAATAGTGGGAATGTTTTTGAAAATATTGTGGTTGAGCTAGAAAATAGTGGGAATGTTTAAGAAAATATTGTGGTTGAGCTAGAAAATAGTGGGGAGGATGTAGAGTAACATACAAAGAATAGAAGCAGAAATGACAAAGATAGATTTTTAGTTTTAATAAAAGTTTTTTAATAGATTATGTGTTACAAGAGAGTAGCAATGAAACAGAAAAAAGAAGGAGAGATAAGGACGATAGCTTTTCTAGGCAAAAAGGAGCAAACCACACCAGAGCACCTACCAACCACCCACAGGAAATGGCCAAAGACAAGAGTTTGAAAAAGTTTAGTGCAGAGACAAATGACAAACAGATGGGAACAACGGGGCAGTTGACAAAAGACAAACAGATGGGAACAACGAAGCAGTTGACAAAAGACAAACAGATGGGAACAACGGAGCAGTTGACAAAAGAAAGACAAACAGATGGGAACAACGGAGCAGTTGACAAAAGACAAACAGATGGGAACAACGAAGCAGTTGACAAAAGACAAACAGATGGGAACAACGGAGCAGTTGACAAAAGAAGAAGTAGGACAACAAACTGTCACCCTCCAACCACCCACCAAATCACCAACACAAGACCAAAAGGGACAATATCCTCCAAAACTTTTCTTTATTCACAAGATCCATGGAGTTTTTGTCAATGACATCGCACAGAAACTAATCACATCAAAGAAACTGTTTCAACATGCAGAACATTTCTGTCACTGGTTCACTCACTCACTCACTCACTCACACACACAAACACACACGCACACACAAACATATCTGCCAGTGGTTCACCAACACACACACACAGACACACACACACACTCACTCACTCACTCACACACACACACACACACACCCCTTCACTAGCCTTCAGCATCAGTAAGAAATCACATTTCACAAGATTTGAGTTTGCTCACAACATTTCCTCACTTCTACGTAAAAGTGACTGGTTACACGTAAAAACAACAACAACAAATGAAGAATAAACAATCAAAGAACATAAACCACCTCACACAACAGAGAAGCGGTTTCCAGATATTTCTCATTTCGACTACAGAAGTCGCTACAGTTACAGGCTTGACCCAGTGTGACCTAGGACAAGTGTGTGACATGTACACACGTAGGTTATCTGTGTGACCTAGGACAAGTGTGTGACATGTACATACGTAGGTTATCTGTGTGACCTAGGACAAGTGTGTGACATGTACACACGTAGTTATCTGTGTGACCTAGGACAAGTGTGTGACCTAGGACAAGTGTGTGACATGTACACACGTAGTTTATCTGTGTGACCTAGGACAAGTGTGTGACCTAGGACAAGTGTGTGACATGTACACATGTAGGCTATCTGTGTGACCTAGGACAAGTGTGTGACATGTAGGTTATCTGTGTGACCTAGGACAAGTGTGTGGCATGTAGGTTATCTGTGTGACCTAGGACAAGTGTGTGACATGTAGGTTATCTGTGTGACCTAGGACAAGTGTGTGACCTAGGACAAGTGTGTGACATGTACACACGTAGTTTATCTGTGTGACCTAGGACAAGTGTGTGACCTAGGACAAGTGTGTGACATGTACACATGTAGGCTATCTGTGTGACCTAGGACAAGTGTGTGACATGTAGGTTATCTGTGTGACCTAGGACAAGTGTGTGGCATGTACACACGTAGGTTATCTGTGTGACCTAGGACAAGTGTGTGACATGTACATACGTAGGTTATCTGTGTGACCTAGGACAAGTGTGTGACATGTACACACGTAGGTTATCTGTGTGACCTAGGACAAGTGTGTGACATGTACACTTGTAGTTTATCTGTGTGACCTAGGACAAGTGTGTGACATGTACACATGTAGTTTATCTGTCTTCCTGTTACTGGCATGGACTTTTCCCCACAGCCCCTCAACAAACAGAAATGATCCGACTCCTAAAACCACGTAACTGTGTTCACAAAAAGATTTGGGAAAAAAGCATTTTTGGGGGCATGGATCTAGATGTAGAATGTTCAAGAACAGTTTATAAGAAAAAACAACCAAAAATCATCTTTTTTTGTGTGAAATTGAACTTTGGTGAAAAAAGTGCAAACAAATCCAATGTTCTCCACTTCACCAACAATAATTTCCACAGTCTACTTTTCTTTACAGGCAATTGTCCAAGGAGAACTCAGTGAGGAACAATTAAAAAATGTCCGACTTTGGTGGACAAACTTCCCCTTCCACGCCCACACACTTTGGTGGGACAAACTTCCCCTTCCACGCCCACACACTTTGGTGGGACAAACTTCCCCTTCCACGCCCACACACTTTGGTGGGACAAACTTCCCCTTCCACGCCCACACACTTTGGTGGGACAAACGGACAAACTTCCCCTTCCACGCCCACACACAACGGACAAACAGTGGAGTGAGTTTCTACTCAGGAGGGGGTCACTAAAGGCTCAATTCTGGGCGGACGTTTCAACACCGGGACTCCTCAATGTTGAATGCCAAAATACACATTTTGCAGGAGAAACAAAAGAAAAACAAAAAAACAAAACAAAAAAACCCTGCTTTATTTCTGCAGTACAAAATCTCCATACAAAAACGTAAGCTCATCTAGATCTGTCACTGTTCTGAGAGGGGAGTGGCGGACTAGGCCCCAACAAAGTGCCCCATCAAACTCTACAACTGTTCTGACATTTCATTTTCATATTTTCAACATAATTGTGAGGCATGCTGACAAAATGAGTCACTTCTCACAATCCACAAATGGAGATAGCGACCAAAGATCGACACAAGGGTCCAATTTGTACGTTTTCTTTTGATGCTCTATATTCTTTACGTATAACATTCCTTTTATTATTTCATACTTATACATTGTAAAAACTTCACCTATAAGCGTGATGTATCTATTTCTTTAAGACTTGAATCCGAGAAGTAACTCCTTTTGTCAGCACTCTTCACATTTTGACACACCAGTATGTGGATCGGAATGAGGGCAAGGATTTATCCAGCATTGTTGACAACATGGTGAAAACAGGAGACTGGTCAAGACACAGATTTGTGTCCACGGAAACAGGACAGGAGGTTGGAAAGAGAAAAATGATCTCACACAAATGAGATTTATGGCACCTCAGTTCAAAGAATAACTTTGTCAGGAAATCCACTCGTGGAATGTTGACTCAACCACACAGGAAGGAGAATGTCTTCTTTACAAGGCAAACCTGGCCAGGGCACAGACCACCACAGCAAGAGAAAAGCTTCAAGTTCGGAACGTTTCCAGCGCGGAACACACAGTGGTACAGACAAAAAGAGCATTCTAACGATCTGTTTCCAGAGAAGAAAAGAGAAGACAAAGACTCCATTTTTCCACCTCAGGTTATAGAAAAAAATTCCAATAGTTAGGAAAAAAAATCCAAATCCCATGATAAAAAACTTTCTCCGACTCGAAGAAAAGTGACATCGTCGACAGAAAACGTATTCTGAGCGCTACAATTAAGGCCCAAATCAGACGGAAACCAAACTCCAACTGACTCTTGACCCACCAGTCTCACGCAGCGCTCCCTATTGAAGTACTGACAAATTTCCAAATTAAGCCAGAAAAAAAAAAAAAAGGAAACATTTTTGAGCCGAGTCAGGTAAAGATTGAAAAGGTTTCAGCTAACAACAATTCAGTTCTTTCCAAAAATTATTTTTTTCAAGTTTAAGTAAGAATTTTACAGCAATTGCAATACAAATATTATATAAATACAAAGAATTAAGGGTGTTCTTCCAACTAGAGAGAGTTGTGACATACAAAAAAAAAAAAGGACGAGAGTCAAAGATAACGACAATACCGGTCCGGTATATTGGATGAGACAGAAGGAGCAGACCACACCAGAGCACCCGCCAGCCACCCACAACAACCATCCAACATGCCAATGACCACAAGGAACAACAATCAACACATGAGCTGTACAGACGACAGACAAAAGAACAAAGACCCCCACAGACCACAGACAAAAGAACAAAGACCCCCACAGACGACAGACAAAAGAATAAAGTGTCACAAAGACCCCCACAGAACTAAAGTCAAGCTCTATGACTGTAGGAACCTCAGTCCACCCTAGCGCTAGCCTTGGCACAGAGAATACATCATTACCGGACCGTAGAAATATTACAGGTTATAGTGTGGCTGCTTATTGTATTTATATATATATATATATATGTATCTCTCTCTCTCTCTATATATATATACATATATGTATATTATGTCTCTCTGTCTCTCTCTCTCTCTCTCTCTATATATATATATATATGTATATTATGTCTCTCTGTCTCTCTCTCTCTATATATATATACAGTCAAACCTGTGTAAGACGGCCACCCATTGTCAAGGAGAAAAGTGGCCGTATAAGACAGGTGGCCGTCTTAGGCAGGACTGATCAAGATAGAGAAAACAAACCATTCCCACCTGAGGCCCCAATCGAAAGTAGCCCCATTGTTGTTGTCTTTGTTGTTGTTGTTGCTGTTGGTTTGTATTTCGTTTGTAATTTTTATTTTGTCACTGATTTTGCACAAGGGTGACAATAAAACGAAATGTATCAGACAAGGAAGACCGAGTGCCATGTTAAAGCTAACACACGGGTCGCCACCACTCGGAGAACGAGCGACGCTTCTGTCACAAGTTCATGTTGACGTCCATTGTTACTTTGTTACAGACTGGGTATACAGTGACCACTCATCTCACTTACGATTTGTGTATGAGTTCTGGGTGGGGCTTATGGGTTATGAGGGATCACACGCTTACCTCACCAGCAGCTGAAAATTGGTAGCTATTGGTCAACAGTGGGAGGGACCTACGCAACATGATCGGTTGGAGGGACTACCTAACAACAACGACAGGTGATTGAATTATGACGGGGCCCACAACGCCAGGGGCCAATGCACAATTTATGACAAAACATAATGGAGTCACTAAGGTGGCCGTCTAAGACAGGTATTATTGCTTAGTATGATAGGGGTTGTGTGTTAAATTATGGTGGTCGCGGCTGCGTTGGACAGTGCCCGTTTTACACAGTTAAATTATATAGAAAAAACGCAAGGGGGGGAATGGAAGGTGGCCATTTGTACAGGTGGCCGTCTTATAGAGGTGGCCGTCAGGGCAGGTTTGACTGTATATATGTCTTCTCATTCTTCCAACACTTTCGTACACAGAACACTTCATTTTGCAATACTGATAGTGCACATTTTCTTTCTACTCTTCATAAATAACTACGCCCTAAAACTGTATACAGTGGCGTGCGCTTACACCAAAGTTGAGATATCCACCATTGAGGGAGGTGGGGGAGGTGGGGGGGGGGGTGCCTGGTGTAAGAGGTAAAATCAGTGAAAAAATGGCTGCCAAAGTTTGGTGACTCTGGTCAATGTTTTCGGTAAAATCCACAGAACATAAAAGGTGCTGAGCCAAAAGCAAAAAAAAACAATCTTGGAAAATTGCCCAACAGGCAGAAAAATTATCGGTTTCTTCGATTTCATCCTTTTGATGAGTGCCTGATTCCACCACGGAGCCTCACATGTAGTCAATCGCTGTAAATGACGAGTAGACACAAGTAGGTGAGAACTTCACGCAATATGCGTACATAAAGAGTCGTAAACAGCTCAAAACCTCTGCACAGACAAGCATGCACAAATATGTAACAACTTCATGTCATATAAATACATAAAGTGTATCAAACAGCTCAAAACTTCTTCAAAGAATACAGACACAGACACCAAAAGACAACGGGACTCGGGGGACTGGCCTCCGGACACAGAAACCGACCAACACATATCTAGGATAATTGACAAATATCTCAACATTTGTGAGTTTTTCCATGTCTTGGGTTCAGCAGACTTAGAGAGGGCAACTGATGGTGAAAGGTGAGAGCTATGTACAGATGCTTCACTCACAGGTGGGGGGGG